CCACATCTCTACCCTGGGGAGCTCAGATTCCCTCCCCAGGCAGGAATAGCAAACGTGTCTGCCATTTTGTAAGCTTTTTACACTTCGAGGCCCTATTAAGATTGATAGACCAGCTTGTGCTATAAATGACGAGCCCTGGTCTCCCCAGTCCAGATCCAAGGCTATCCTGTGTTAACCCCCTTCCTCCCCCAAACAGATATGGGTGCTAATGACTGTGACAACTCAGCTGCGTGTGTAAGAAAATAACCACCCCCCCCTCCCAGAATATGACCTGAAAGCTGGAACGTTCACAAGTGTATCCTGTGACATTCTTCTTGCCGACATTGTGCACATGGGCGTGTATTAAGTACCATCAAGCTGGTGGCTTGCGAAGGGGGGGGGGGGCATCTTGCACATTAAACTATTTAAAGATTAACTGTCCAGCTCTGATCTGATCCTATTTGTTAGCGCACGTCAAGCTGAACGTGTTACTGCACTGTCCTCAGGCCCAGAAAAGCGTTTGTTTATTAAAGGGCAGCGATAAATCAGGACGGCATGCTCAGGCAATCGGCTGGCACAGCGCCTGGCTTCCTGTCATGTATTGGGGGTGTGGGGGCGGGGGTAAGGGTTTACGCTAACTCCAGCCAGTGACAAATGGCCACCCTTCGGCGTGTATGCAAACACGGTTCGGTTCGGTGACAAAATATTGTGTCACACCATCATTTTTAAGGCAAAATCTCCGCTCAGGCTTCAGCTGCCAAATATAAATCTTAAGAACAACCTCTGTCAGGCTCATTAATCAACGGAGGTGAGGGGGATGACAAAGACCAGGATGACTCCACCAGTAAGCATCAGATTCCTGCCACTGTCATCAAATACCCCCCAAGGACATTAACAGGTCATAGGAGTCTGTCAGGGTCCCTCCTACCCCCATCACCAACTGGGGGGTTGTTCTAGCCTGCGCTATTCATAAAGGGACAGCAGTATCTTCAAAGGTCTCTACCCAGTGTCAATGACACACGTAAATTGGGGATACCCCACTAAATCCACATCAGCACATCACATTCCTCATCTGATCTTCCTCTCAGGTCAACAAGCAGTTTGTACACATCTAGAGAATTTACTCTGCAGATTCAGACTGGATACCCACCACAAGGTCCAACAGCAGGAGACCTCTTAGGAACGACCAACGACATTCAGGTTAAGGTCATAACTGTTGAGGCCCCAGTACAGTACTTATAAAACACAGCTGCATGTCCAGGGACAAAGCACGGCAAATTTGCTTCAGATTTTATGTAATTTAAAGTGCAGAGTCGTGTCATTCATCAATTTATTGCCCGATATACTGGAATTTTTCACAACACCGAAAACCAGGAGCAAAAGGAGGCTAACGAGAAATATTTTTTTTTCAGTAGATGTTCATTTCTTAATACTGCTGGGATCAATAAATCATATAAAGTGGATCCAACTTTTATTTGTGTTTAGGCTGTACTTTTGCTTATGATGTAGTGTTTTGCATAATGACTGTTACTTTTATATTAAAGCAATATTTGTCGTAAAGAAGCAGAAATTATGAGCCACGGAAGGTGGTTTGATGTTCCCGCTGGCGATCTCTGCCCCTTTTCCATGCACATCTCTGCACGGACTGACCTCTAGACCGCCTGACGTCCCGCTTACATCGTGGTCACGGCGACTCACGACAGAAAACGACACAAAAACCACATAAAAACCGGTCTAATTCCAGACCGAAAAGACGGACGTTCGTTTAACCTTCAAGTAGCTACTACAATATAAGTTTGCATGGTAGTTTAGTGCAATTAGGGGAGTTTTCAGTCCAATAAGTGCCTGTATGTCTAAAACGACCGCAGGAGATGCTGAGCCGAATAAATCAAATCCATCCCAGAGCGGCGATCCTTAGATGTGGACTGAATATAAAAATGTAAATCGGCTTAAAAACTAACATTCATGACCATCACAGGATTTGGCAACGCGTTCGCCGACCATAATAACTGTGTTTTTTTCCAATGCTATAAAAATTTAAATACATTATTTATCATATAAATTCATTTTAGCGACCGGACCGGAGTTATGATTTGCTCTGTTGTTGTTTAGTCTCCGTTAGTTGTTTGCTGGTTATTATGATTTATTGCTAAAAACTCCTTATTAAAGTACATTTCAGCGAACGCTTGTCCTAAATTGATTACTAACAATGAGCAGGCGTGTCTCTTCCTTCAGCCTCAGCAAAAATCTTTAATGTTTTACAGATCTCTTATAGTTATGATGGGAGATGTAGCCAGGATAATCACTGTATGGCTATACTCCCCATTACATCGAAACTGTATTATAAATCCTTAATTTCACATTTTCCTTATTAGCGTTGTCGCCTCAGTGTCCCGGCTTATAATTGGACCGTCGTTTAAACAATCGCTTTTGTTTTTTAACATTTTTTTTCTTTTCTCTGATCTCTCTTGTCGGCGGTTTGACTCTGTGTTTCCCTCTGCACTACAGATATCTTCCACGATGTAAAATCGTTATATTCAGGCAAATTAATTAATGACTTCAACGTGTGTTTGTTTGCTTGAAAGCCCTGTCTGGGAGCCTGACCCTGACCTAGTGATCAGTGACTAAAAATATAAGCGGTAAGGACTTCATTTTATTTCTGTTATGTAGGCCTGTGTAATCCTGACCAGCTGAAAGGGCAGTACATAATTCATTGTTCATTAATAACTGTTTCCTTATGGATTTTGATTGATTTGTCAGTGTTCTGGTAAAACTTGCCTTTGTAGATGCCCAGGGCCTTGTTGGGTGGGGGCGAGTGCAGGTGGGGCTGGTGGGGCTTCCCCCAAAGGACACGCGTGTGGTGAATCTGCCCCAAGCTTGGAAGGCATTTCTAAGCTGCCAAGCCATCCGGCCCCCCCCCCCCCGCCCCAAGACCCTCTACAATTCATCAGGCTATAAGGAGTGACAACCACCCCCCCCCCCCCCCCCACCGCCTCCCCATGCCAAAAGTGTCACCTCACCACCTGCTTGCAGGCTAGTGTTAATTTCTCAGATTTGCTGATAATGACTGGCACATCATCCATGCACCAGGTCCCGACCTGCCCCCCCTCCCCTGTCGGCATACCAGGAGCCCCCGACACCTGTCAGTTAGGGACTGCGGGCTGGCTGTTCCAAAATAAAAATAAGAAACCCCTCCATTGCCCTGAATGTGCATGTGCTTGGCATTTGTCACAGCCCTCACCTTGTCATGACAGGACGGAATTAGGGGTCGCCGGGGTGGGGGGTCAGGGGGTCAGGGTACAGCCCTGTTTGCTTACCGCGCTTACTGCCACCATCGGACAAGCCTGCTCTCCAACCACAGTGCAGTGCTTGTTCCCTGGAATCGCATTTTACACCCCATTAAACTCCGCCCCTTAAAGTCACGCCCACCAGTGTTGCAGAGTGCATCCTTAGCTCTTCTAGGCCATGCTTGGGGGGGGGGGGGGTCACAGAATGGTACAATTCGCAATCATTACACACGGCCGCTCTCTCGCAAGACAGGAAATATGCTGCATTGCATTAGATTTACACTTTTATTGCAAGTTAAACTTTGCAGGGACAATAATTCCATTGTTTATTACTGAGGGAAGAACATCTTTAACATTTACTTACAAAAAGCTACATTATACCTTCGACATTCAAACAAAAAGAAGAACAACGGTCACTTGTAGAAACAACGATAAAAAAATTAAGAATGAAAGCTGTTGTCCAACTGAATAATAGTTTACATTGTTTTTAATAAAAAAAAATATTAGAGATGCTTTTTCCACACGGCAGGCAATGTGAGTCATGTTAAGAGTACTTTCCCTGGGTGCCCCCCCCATATCGGCAGGACCGGGGGGGGGGGGGGGGGGGCAGAATGGAAGCCACCCCCCGCCCCTTACAGGCCGACCTCTCATTCATTGAAAGTGCACAGGTGGCAGCTGCTGCAGGCGTTTTTATTTCCCGTCCCGCAGGCAGCGCGGTTCGGTTTCTGTTCGCATCGTCGCAAAAAACACAAGAAGGATTAAAAAAAAACATGCATGCTAATGCTTAAATTATACGTCAGTTGTTTTCTCCGTCAGTCCCACCGATATCATTTCAGCAAATAAAAACTGCGAAACCCACCAAACAGCTGTGTGACATCTGGGGGATTTTTCCTCGCGATTCCAAAAACGTGCCTCTTAACGCAGTTTATTTATTGCCCTGCGGCGCCGTTGGGCTTACGTCTGCCCGGCGAGTCGGCCGTTTGATCACCATTTAGCCAAGTGCTTCCTCTATGCGATGTTGGGGTGTCAGTCTACCAGCACGATGTCTCTACACGGCTCTGTCGCACGTTGGGCCTTTGCAGCAGAGCTTGCATGTGCGGAAATGCAGCTTGTCCGTCACCACGGAAACTTATGGTGCTGGTACAGAGGGGTCTCATGTGACACTCGAACCATTTTAGCCATAGGAAATCTTTTTTGTGAATAGCCGTCAGATCGGTCCCACCCACAGCTGGGAATATAAGAGAGAAGGACCGGTGGCCAGTTGTCCCACGCAGAGCCGTGAACGGGCCGCTCTCAGGCCTCCTGTGGGCCGCTACCCATCCACGGGCTCAAGCCAGAACTCAAAAAGTCATGGCCCTGGTCCTTGGATGCCACCCCCCTCACCCCACCCCGGAGTATGGGGGCTGTTGCAGGGACGCTGAGGTCAGACCATGTGTGCCGACACCTGAGAAGAGCTGCTCGTCAGGCCCCCCAGGCCCAAAGTCCGAGAGTCGAACAGGTTCTGCTGGCCGCTACTGAGCATGTGCAGCCCTTCCATGGGTGACAACATCTGCCTGTCCGTCATGGTGCCACTGGGGGCGGAGCCGAGGAAGGTACCCTGGGAGGAGATCTTCTCTGGGCTGGCTGCCAGGCGTGGGGACGTGGGGAAGTTATATCCGTACAAGCCATAGGGGCTGTGGAGTCTGAAGCTGTTGTAGGTTCCCTGGTGGCTCTGATTTGCTGAAAAGGCGTTTCCTGAGGGGGTGGGCATGATGTACTGGAGCTGGGGAGACGGCATGCCTGGGATCTGGATGGGCAAGCTGGTCTGTCCACAGCCGAAGCCGTCAGTGTCGCCGGTGGACATTGTCATGTTGGCGCCGCTCACCCCAACATAGGAGGCCGCGCGGGGGGTGGAGAAGGCCTCGCCGGCGGGGCTGGCCAGTCGTCCGTATGTCTCCGCCAGTGGGTTGCTGTAGCGGTTGAGGGCCAGGCCCGAGCGGCTGCAAGCCGTGTACTCCCCAGGGCTCATGCCTGCCCCCAGGTGGAAGGCCGGAGCTGAGCACGAGGATGAGGAGAGCAGGTGGGCGTGAGCAGGTGACGCCCCATTCCCATTGGTCGCCAGAAGGCCATGTGACCCCGGGCCTCCTGGACGGACGGACAGATGGGAAATTGTTGCGTTACTGCATTGGCCAAAAATGAACTGAAGATACAATATTTTAACGTAATGTTTGACACTTTTGGCTTGCAGGGAAAATAGCCATGAGCTAAGTCAATACGCACATTTGACAAATGAACAAGCAGTGTAATTCTTCGTCACTCTATAAAGTTACTTTATTTCGAATCTACAGCATGCAAACTCTGCAATTTCGTCTCTTGTCTGCTCATTTATAGTATCCTTGTGTGCCTCAAAAATGGAAACTGATATCTTCAGGCTTTGGCTATATCTACTTGTCAGAAGGAGCACGTCCTCCGACACATCAGCGCTAAAACCGCGCACTCTCGGCACGACGTGATGTTCATCGACAGGGCGGCCGCACCTTGCTTTGCCATTCCAGGGATATCCTCAAAGGTCAATGTTCGGAGGGAGGGTCTCCAGAATGCGTATGACTCCACCAGAGCCTCCAGCCCCATCCTAGGGAAAGAACGGATTATGGTTTGTATTCTTAGCAAACACATGTAGGGTATTTTGTACTGAATTCGACAAAAGGATATAGTATATTATAGGGCTTGGTGGTGTGCAATGTTAATACAAACATCACATGTTATGCACATACAATTTTTACATCCCTAGTCAGATTAAGATCGGGCTTTTTCTTACTTTCAATTCTGTACAGACAGTTTAGTGGGGGGAGGGGTTAAAGTTTCGCTATAATATTTTTACTCTCTTACCCTGCTGAAGGAAACTTAGCTTTAATTATAATTCCTTTTATAGATTGTTATATGTTTAAAAATCAGTTTAAAGTTTTACTTCCACTGCTTTTGCATGAGAGCTGCATACGTTCCTGAGACAATTGTAATCATTTTCATCCTTGCCATTTAAATCACTTAAAGACAGGTTTAAGAGAAATTTCTGAACTCCGTTTTTGTTCTATAAATACCCAAATATTTATTACATTTTCACATTGCTGTATTAGTATCTTCAACAAAATACTTTTTCTCATCCTTTTTTTTTCTTGTCATGCCATCCGTATATTTTTGTTGTGTATGATCTTATGAGCAAATCACATTTTTTTTTTTACTTCGTTTAACATTATTTTCTGATTTCAAAACTGTTTTCAAGGCACCGTTTGTATTGTGTTTCAGCGGCAGGCTATTTGCATATCCAATCAACAAAGAAACCATTTCAAGTCCCACCCCAAAGTACCGAAGTACCAAAGAAACACCCCAGCTGGTTTGACACTTTCGGTACTGGTACTCGACCAGAAGTCAATGGAAAAGCGAAAGGACTGAAAGTACCGTACCAAAAGCACTTGGTGCAGTGGAAAAGCACCTTATGTGGCATTTCACCAGTACGACCAGTGTTGTAAATGGGCAATAGTCAGTCGTTGTGTATTTGTCATGTGTCAGAGGGGTATTAATCTGTCCTATAAGGAGGCAAGTTGCTACATGTGCTTGATCTGGGTGTCCCACGCCGGGTAACTGCCTGACCACTGCCTCGGTCAGCTAGACAGGGCCGGCCCCAAGAAGGGGAGCTAATGAAAAACATGAAGCGGACCCCATCCACCACTGGCCTCGCTCAGTTCTGATATAATTGATTTCACACTGCTTTTATGAAGGGATCATAGGCATTTTGCAGGAAGCTATAATAAAATATTTATTAGGTGGACGCAGGGGGAAAAAAATCACCTTCATTTTCTCCAGTAATAGGAGCTTTTTTGCGTCTAGTTAGGGTGGAGATAAAAGCGGCCTTCTGCAGAGGTGAAGGCAAGGCGATAATTTATACAAGATGCCTGAATGTTTCCGTCCTATTTTATCACCCAGCTCACTAGTGCTATCAAACGGTTTAGTTTATTTAGCAAACCGGTTAACTTTTCCTGTAATATTTTAAGGGGAATTTTTGTACTTTCCTGAGTTAAATGTTTATAGGGTCAAACCCGAGGGTCTTTCTTAGGTATGAAACCCTATTCTACACCACATAAATTCTCTAGTGTCCCATATTTTAAACGAACCCTAATGATATACGTAAACCCTCCGAAGGGAGTTGCAGTTTTAGGACAGTAATGAATTTATTGTGTGCTGTGTTTTATTTCCTTTTCTTGCTATTTATTTTCTCTGGGTCCATGGGAATCTGCCTGCATGTGCGACAGCAAAATGCCAGAAAGTGACCTCGGCCCGGTCGCTCCTTTCCTTCTCCTCAAAAGCAAATGACTTGTGCTCACTGTGGGTCACATGTCCGCCGTCTTTGTGCAAAAGCGGCCGGCTGTTTTAACTGACAGACGCGCACAAATAATCCTTGAAGTACAACGAAAAAAAAAATAAAAAATTCCTGTATTGATAATAAGTGGAGCTGATAGGAAAACCTGGAGGCCATATTTGTCTTGTTGTGCATACGCCCAAAAACTCAGCACGCAGCCAGAAACACACTATGAATAAAATGTGTGCTGTAAAATCACAATGCCACGTATGAAGAATTATTCATGAGGCCCATCATTTAATGCAGCTACCATAAATTTCATTTTTTAGAAGTCCTTAGATCTACTAAGAACAAAAAACATTTTCTGCCTTACCTGTTCCTTCCTGAATCCCGAAAGCCTTTGGCAAATGGATTCCGGTCTATTTTTAATCTTGTAATCTGTATGGATAAAAAAGTCACATGTTTAAAGGGACTATATAGCTGATCATATTTTAACTCACTGTACTTACAGTCCAGCCGTTGGGTCATTTTGCCAGGTTGTGTCGCCTGGTCCATTATGAGTAATGCATACTTTCTTGTTATTGGGATTTTAAAGCTACTTTTATATGTATTCTGGGAAATTTATTTGGGCCAAGATCGCTGAATGGGACAAGTAGCTCTCACTGATTCCACTGTGTTTATTTGGTTTTGGTAAAATAATTTTCAGCGATGGCCTGATTACTAGGAGCCACCATTGAAAAGAGGCAGAAGAGAATTTACTGTTTTGGCTCAATAAGGTCTGATGTCTGATGCAAATGAATCAAGCCGAGAGATTCATTAGCCTAACGGCTTCAGAAACGGAGCACCGGGCTCTGGATTTCACACATGGCCGCCGAGCCTCTGTTACCGAGGCGACGGCAGCAGCATGAGGCACGGAGGTGGTGTGAACGGCCACGCGGCCCCTGACGGGGCAGCCCTGGCAGAGCCCCGCTGACAATCAGCCGTGTGACCCCAGCAGGTCAGGGGGTCTGTCAGCCCCACGAAAACCTAGCACTCCATCCCAAATGCGCCGCGTTGGCCGAAAGGGTGCGACCAACACGACCAACAACACTGTGGCGAGCAGGAAGAGCAGGTCCTGCCCCAAAACCTGCCTCAGTATAAACCAGAGCTTTGGCGGGGGGGGGGGGGGGGGGGTCACAACGTCCCCCCCATTTATATCACTCTATTTTCAAACCATCAGAAGTTCAGAGCTCATACCTGCTGGTTCTGGTAGGCTGTGACGGTGGTGAAGACGGTCTCAGTGAAAGAAAAGGCCTTAACCCCATCTCCAGCCGGGATGCCCTTCACAGGCGACAGCTCCTCCCCGCACTCCTTCCGGATCACATGGACCCTGGGCTGGTACTTGTGCATGGAATGGAGTATTATCTGGAGGAGCACAGTTTGGTTAAGATAATAAAATCAGAAAACACTTCCTAGTACAGTAACTTTACAGAACTATATTAAGCCTGTACTTTATTCAGTCAAATAACTCTTAGCAGTTATGTTGTCCTTAATGTGGTTTGTCCTTACCTCAAGTAATAAATTAAGCCATTATGGTTAGTAGTGTTTTAACAGTTTAGCATTTACCATATATCTACGCTAATATTTAAAATGATATTAAAAACACTGTAAATTAGTGATCAGTGGTCATTGTTGACACACCACAGCACTCAGTGCACAACAACGAAATGCGATGTTTAGCGATGATAATGACGTTCGATAACAATTTACCTTTTATTCCACTTTCCAAGTGTTAGCTGTTTTGCAATACATTTTTATACTTTCACGCAGTTGTCCCTCAAGATAAAATTATTTTTTAGCGGGATCTTATATTATTATAAAACTGCCATCTAGTAGTTCGTTGTTTAAAAATCAAGTTTGAGTTATTTCTTTTATTTTGTCTTTCACCGAGTCCCCACAATTTCGCGTGTTGTCGGCTATGGCATAATAGTAAATCTAACAATATGAAAGTGTATATAAAGTATAATAAAAGGCTTACGTGTCCCTGATCGTCTAGCTCGTTGTTGGTGAGTTTCAGCTTGTCGAAGCTCACGACCTGTCGCATCCATGTCTCCCCGGAGGCTGGCGAATCCGGATGTATGTACACCCTCGGAGGTACCGGCGAGTCCGCATTCCCGGCCACCATCCACTTCGAGCTGTGGTACACGTACCTGCACGCACGCAGCCAGAGGAGACGGTTCACAAACAATACAATTATAAAATAAACCATCCTAAACTTGCGCGAGCCATACCGAGATAGCACACATACGTTGAAATGACATTGATTCCATATCAGACAAAAAGGTTGAAACAACGTTGATCTTCAGTCTTTCGCTTTATATCAACATTGGATCAAGGTTTTGCCACCATCAATTTTTCAATATTGAAAATTTGAACAAAAATCAATTCAGTTTCAACGTTGGTAATTTAACACTGACAATAATTCAACGCATTTAACTATAATTCAACGTTGAAACAAAAACATGATGCTGTCTGGGTATCAAGACAAATAAATTTCGTAGTTCTCAAACACTCAAATGTTACAGATCGGATTATTGTTGTAGATCAGCAATAGATATTGCTTTTTACTATTTAAAATAATGCATTTAGTTATATTTTATAATATTTAGTCTTGCGCACAGAGCGCCCGTAGAAAACAAATCTCTGCTTGTTTATACCTTTGATATATAAAAACTACAATAGAAAATTCCCTCCGCTTTGGCATCGAATATAATATTTTATGCACATGGTCGGCTCACCTGTAACGTTTGTTATCCACGGGAATGATGTCCATGGCGATGTAGTACTGCTGGTGAGGGTCTAAGCCGGAAACCTTAACGCGCATGGCCGGAAACATCCGCCTGACCAAGAAAAACGCAGGGTGCATTATTATTATTATTATTATTATTATTATTATTATTATTATTACTGATCCAAATGATCACTACCGAGACGTCAGTAAATCACAGTGACGACGTATTCAAAACAACGCCAGACAGCCTAGAGATTTCACCTGAATTTGCGCACAAGGTAAAGTCTTTATAATTTTATATTCAACGAAAAACAAAATGCATATACGTCTTAATACTATCATACATTTTAGCAGTAATTCTAAGAAATGTTTGCTGCAATAGAATTTGAAATAAAAAGAATAAAAACGCGAAAACGATAACAAGAGTTCCAAAGATAGGCCTATGCTTCGACTTCACACGAAAAGTTATATACATATTTTTGTCTTTAGTTCTGACGTTCCACATGCTATCTGTTTGCTGTACGAGTTACTACAATACCATCTAAAATGAGGTGGCGTAACATTTAAAAAAAAAACTTTTTTTTAATTAAATGGCAGTTCAAACATTAGCCTAAGGTACGTCTATCCAAATAGTATTTAAAACTTTTGGCGGGTTTCCAAAAGACACAATATGGACCAACCTTCCAGCTTTGGTGATGATCATCTCCGTCCCAATCTCATGGAAGCGCTTCCATAGGTCTGATCCCTGCAGATCCACGCGCATCTCTTCTGCAGGCCCCGAGCCCGCCTGCGCAGCAGCGATGGAAACGGTGGTTTGGGACGTGGGCCGGGGACTTTCCAGCAATACCTCGCCGCAGTCTGCTGCGCAGTGCAAATATTATTATTATTATTATTATTATTATTATTATTATTCAGGTAGGCCTATTAATATAGCAGTACTGATACATAACAGCAACGGTACTAATAATGAATTCTCTTTTTAACTAAAATACAATCCGATAATTTCGTTATCTACGTGCATTAACATATTTCGATCTCTTCAATTAATTCCATAATTTCTGAAAACGTTTTTAACCAAGGTCAAAGGGGGAAAGAGCAAATTAACGCATCGAAAGATGGCATCCAGTTAAAACACATCACAGCTTTTGGATACGCTTATTACCCAAATGTGTGTCCGCCGCAACTGACAGCAGAAATTATAGGCGGCATGCCAACATTAGCTTTATTTATATAATCTTTGAACAAGATGTTTATAAAAGAATTAAACCTAAATACTAAAATCTAATCTATTTTTTTAAATAAAATATGACCAGTGTTGGATTTTATGGTAAATACCAGTAATAAGAAAATGTTTAGACTGATTAAAACGATTCTGTGAACAGAAAGTTTCTTACCATATCTGTCAATCATCGCTCTAATTGTTATTAAGAAAAATAGTAACACTCTTTTATAGCTATATTTAATAATACTATCAAATTATGATTGCTTTCATTGTTTCTGTTAATACGAATGCGTAATAAATTGTTATAGTGTATATAATATCGGTGTCACTGTTTCTGTGTTATTTTTATTATTACAGTAAAAGTGCGTTTTAAAAAAGAAACATATAGCGTGGCACTTACGGGACCCCTCACTCGGACACTCTATCTCACAGCTTCGGTCGCTGGCGCACGTCCTGTGTGCTCCGTGCTGTGGGCTCGCATTTGGATTCGACCCGTCGCTCGTCTCTTCAAGACTTTCGCTATCTTCTTCCAACTTTCTTTTCTTTTCCGCTCCAATAAGGGCCTCCACAGAAAACGCATGAGCCTTCAAACTCATCGTGCACGGCGATCGTCTTTTTTCTGCCATACCACAATCCAGAAAATGCAGGAAGGCGTCAGGTTTTAGAACTTCTCCCAAATTGCATCTGCGGCCGTTGTTTATCCTTCACTTCTCCTGTTGAGAGACCCCACTTTGCTAGCTATTAGTCACCGAAGACTGGCATGGATTGCTAGCAGTCTGTGGGTGAAAAGAAGAGATCGACTATTTAAAATTGTTGCCTTGATCTGTCAGCACTTGCAGACGGCGGAGCAGTGGATGGGATTTGTTAAAAGTGTCAATAACCAGGAATCCAGAGGGTGGGCAGTGGGATGCCAATCACCGCGCGATCCTGCCAATAGGATCGCTTGATCCCGCCCCTTCGGGTGACCGCGATGCCTAATATGGCTAACTGGGCTTGGTGAATGAATCATTGCCGAACGCTGAGCTCCACTCATTCTTAAACATTGCGATCATTTTCACACCACGGCTACAGATGCTTAACATATTTACTCATTACCTCCCCGATAATCAAAACCAATGGTGGATTATACAGTTTGATTATCAAATTATATGCCAGTATGTATATGAAATTAAACAAAAACACCGCGTATTTTAATATAATTTAATAGCAAACGTCAGCAGCCCACCGTCCTTTTGCTAATATGTAGCGTATTTCGATATAGCAATTATTTTAAATTTGTTAAACTCCTTTACTACAGCGGACCTTTGCATTTGAAATTTAAAATCTAATGTTATTTTAACTATCAAATCATATTATTCTTTGGTGTTTCATACTAAAATCAAGATATGACCTAAATTAGATAAAGTGGTTCGCTTTTACATAGGCTATGTATTTCATGCAACATGCAATTTGTCAGAATTTTTAATTGCGAACTGTAATTACACGAACCCTAATCTGCTACCGCACGGGACACGTATTATTTATTTGTATTACACGTACAGTTTCATCCTTTATGTGCGAAAATGTGAATATCAGGTTCGACAGGATAACAAACCAATCTAATTTAAAAACGTGCTGTACAAATTTTTAAAATAAGAATATATACATTATTCATTAGATTTGTAAATGAATTATGGATTTTATATTAGGCTACTTAAGTACATTGAACTGAGAAGGTCGATGCAACTTTGCTATATATATATCTTCCGGACGATGTAAATATGTATAATTGAAATGGGCAATATTGCTGAACACAAGGGAAACGCGACTGTGCAAAGAACCCAATGAAGGCGCTTTATTCCGGTTCACCTTGATCTCAGGGGTGCTGATGAAATTAGTCTTCAAAACGGTTTTGCAAACAGATACATTCCTGAGACGCCCAGTATTGCATGTAATACATTTACAAATACAATTACAATTACAATTAGAAATATATGTAGCCTATCATGTGCATTATAGCTTTTTGACATTTGCATATAATTATATATAGCTGGTATATATAGTTTATTTATGTATATATGTCTATACACACAAACATCTAAATATCCTAATCCCGATTTATTACTACACTGGAGCTTACTTTTCGTATTTATTCACAAAATTTCAACGTTTTAACAATTAACGAAAATTGATGCAAAGTTTGAACAACAAAAACAATCATTGTATCTACTGGCAATGAAAATGAGAGAGAGAAATCATTATTAGTTATTCGTTTTTTTTTCTCTAAAATCCTTTAGTGACTGTTATTCATATGCTATATATACAGATACGGAAAAAAAACATTGCTATATTTCCATTTCTCCGAGCTGGAGACTTGCCACGTGCGCGCTCTTCTACTTTCGCTGTCCGGTTCGGGTACAATATGCGGACAGCAGTTCAGCATATTGCATTTCAACAAGTTCTCATTTCAACCATTTTTATTTTTACATGTGGTTTTTAAAATGTAAACAGAGGCGACCGCCTTCCCATTCACATTTCTTAATATATGTGTATGTATATATCTGAATACATATAAATTGTATCTAAGAAATCATATAAAAATAACGTATAAAAATGTTTAACCTTTACCTATAGCTTAAAATCGTCATTACACCCCAAACCTCTATTAAACGTTACCTATCTGTTTTTACAGATAGGTAAATGCAAAAAAATGAGAATTTATATTCTGCACTATAAAATAACGGCTAATACTATATAGGAATTTTAAAATAAGTGTTACCCACAAATGCGTTATTTAGTATGAAATTACGGCCGCTGAATCACTTCAAGGCGGCATTATTTCTTAATGTTGTCTGGGTCATCCTATTTGATTATCACACACTTAAATTATTGCGAAAGTAAAACAGTCTAATACAGCCTCAAATGTTTCTTTTTAAAGACTGAAGTGCTAAAATTCAATATTTTCTTAATATAGCTATGACTTGTGTTGTGATGAAAGAAAAATGCGTATAGCGGCGAGGAGTACGGATAACGGACCAAGCTACATAGTGATACTGTACCTTGTGAGGTACGTGTGTTAGCTCGAAAAAACACAGCCATGTAACTGACATTTGGTCTACAGCTGTCAGCTCTTATGGACATCCTACAATTCGAGCACCTTGCTCACGGTTTGTTTCGTTAATCCGAAGACTAGCGCTCACGTAGACCCCACGAACACGGCGGGGCAACGAACTGGTGACCGAATTGGTCGCCCGCGGCTCGCAGTTGCTCCAAGGACGTTAGCCATCGGTCCCGGTATATGTTCAGTGGCCGTAGGTATCGCGGATAGACTGAAGTTGCCAGTTTAAAAGCGAAGGATCGCTGTGCCATCTGCTGTTGGTCACGGTATAGTTTCAGTAGAAATGTTCGAAAAAAAAACAAACGTACTCAGCGGCATGCAGATATGGCAAAGATTAACACACACAGGCACCTATGCTATCTTTAAATTCCATTAAATTATTTTTATCGACGGAAAGAATAAGTCATGGTAGTATCAATAAGTATACACATATGATGGGTGTATACTCATTGTTTGGTTATTTATTTGTTTGTTTAATTTTCGTCTATAGGCCTATATTTAATAATAATAGTAATTTATTATTATTATGTTACAATCATTCGGTAAAAATAAAATACATTTCATGCAGTTATTCCCATACAGAAACGCCGGTTTTATTTGCGAAGAAACGCGATCCTTTTACGCACTCATTGTAAAGATTTCGGTACTGGTTTGTTCCTGGGGTGGCAATCATATGACAGCGTGTCTGTTGTCCGTGTTTGTTCCTGTCTCCGTGTTTGATGAGAGAATAAGGCCTCGTGCTGTTACATACTGGGTCTATTCTGATTTTCTTTATTGTATTTTAATATTCCTGAATTTTCGGGCCTGCACTCAACGAAAAATGCGATGTTGTATTACTATTGCGCTCTGGGGAAGAAAAAACAACATTTGAAGAGCAGTTGCGGAACACACACACACACACAGACACATATAAACACACAGACCTATATACATACATACATACATACATACATACACACACACACACACCACTACTTCATTTAAAACATACATATGCCGCGAACGTATAGGCCTAGTATATATCAAAAGTTAATTAAGCAGTTTAATCATTTTACATTTTAAATGGCCTTTGAATTTGAAAATCTCATCCCTCAATGATGACTTAGCGGTAGATGATATTTGTTTGGTTTCCTTGAAGGCAAAGGGCACCTGGAACATGGGACATATTACCCAGGCCGTGATAAAACGTAATTGCATTTGTCATTAATTTCCCGCCCCAAATACGTCGTTCAGGTACTTCCCCGCATTATTAAAATTAGCTTACGAGTGTCCAAGAATTTTTTAATTAAAGTTAATGCTTGTAATCATCGAAAGATGTTTCATAAATCACAGTCGGTCAAGATCATGTCAGTTATTTACTGCAATTTTTTAGCGCTGAGAGAAAGTGCTAAGGGACGAAATATCTGTGGAATACTATTTTAAAAAGAGAAAGACAGAAAAAGGAAAAGCCAAGTGAAAATAATTGTCTTCATTACGTTCCGCAGTATAGTGCCCGACCCTCGAAAACTCATTTAACATTAATTACAAAGTATGTGAGCCTGGATGCCACATTGTTAACAGTTATTTTGTAAGTGCTAATGGCAACATGGAACTTCTCCAATGGTTTTATTGAGGAAGTGGCGGCCCAGGGAACTAGAATATATAAGTAAACGGGTCTGAAAATAATTCACTTTGAACGCATAAAGAAATTCAAACCAGCCAAAACGCGTCTCCACTCCCTGACCACCACGTTACCAGCTCAGAGAGACGTTTAAAGTTGACTACGTTTGTGTTATAGAAGGAATAGTAATGGATAAGAGAAAAACAGACAGTTGATGGCTACCATGTCTGCATTTTAACGACCAAAACGTCAAAAACACATTCACGCGATTTAAACTATGACACCGATGTATGTAAAATCGGCCTTGACCATAAATATGGCAATGAAATTAACCGTATAGCCTACGGAGGTTACATGATACAAAACAATGCTGTAAATGTCCACTGTGCAGATTTTTTTAACGTGTTAATATAAATCCAGAGGTATAAATCCTGGTTTTACTTTCTAACACGCACCGGCGCTCTCCAATGCACCGTTTTATTGCGGCCTGGTTATGGACTGGGCACCACAAAAGACGACGGCGTTACTCGTTTTACTTGGACACGTGATGGCTTGTCATTTAAGAATAACACATATAGGCTATACAACAAAAGCAGGCTCTGCCGTCGTCAACGCGTTAAAGCCACAGCCTTCTATGCTACTCGTAATCTAAAAGACCTATGGAGCCTATAATTATATTATCTTTCACGCGAGATATTAAGTATACGTGCAGAAAGTCTGGGCAACTTAAGCGCCTATTATACATTTAGTTTGTTTTGAAACACATTAAAGTCGGTTTGCATAGGTTTTTACAGCATAGCTATAGAATGCAACAATTCATCATCAATACAGCTGTAACCTCACAAAAAAGAGAAACAACTTATTGTAAATAAATTAATCGAAACGAAATGTGGACGATATACAAGACGTAGACCTCTTATTGTTAGGTTGTTATCTTAATAACAATATTATTATTTATGCAATGTTTACATTTTTCCATAAATACATACATTTAAACGTATTATATATTTTTTAGCTTTTATGTTTTTCCTATGACGAAGGATAACAGCGTGCGGTATGGTGACACAGTGTTGTCAAAGTGTAGCATGGCGACACATTTTATGCGAGCTCGCGGCGGCTGAGGCGCCTGCTGTATCAATGGCGTTGAGGAAATCGCCC